TGGTGGGTCGTGATCATGGAATACCCCAGAGCAGGCAGGAGCCCCCAGCTGGCTGGAGCAATGGGGCCGCAGAGCCCAAGTCAGCAGAAGCCACGCGGTAGCAGGGGCCACAGAGGACACGTGGTTTCAGAAGCCACAGGGAGTGGGAACCGGGGTGAGTAGAAGCTACGAGGCCCCAGGGCCACAAGGTGGTACCAACAACAGGCTAGAAACAGCCAGAAAAAGAAAGAGCCTCCAGGCAGTGGGGACCCCTGCAAACAAGAGCAGCGGGCGTTTCTGCAGCCAGAGGGCAGAAGGAATGTGAGGCAGGGAGAGAGGAAGACTCGCACGCAAGAGCTTGGCCCGCAGGGCTCAGAAGAGGCAGGAGCCACGGGGAGACAGGAGCCGGAGTGGAGAGAGCTCTCAGGCCGCAGGCGAGCCACGAGGCAGCGGGAGCCGCAGCAAAGCTGGAGTCGGCGCAGGCGCCGGAGGTGGAAGCCGCGAGGTGAAGGCGCCACAGCAGATGGGGTTTCAGAAGCCAGCGTGATGGCGAGCAGGAGAGGGCTGGAGCCAGAGGGCGGGAGAATCTGCGGAGCGGCACGGACTGGGGCGGCAGAACCCATCACACACCAGGCCTAGCCCTGCGCACGCGGCAGGCCCCGGCACGTGCACGCGGCCCCACCATGTGGCAGGACCCAGCTCGTGCCAGGACCTGCCCCGTGCACGTGGCAGGACTCGCTCCATGAGCCGCGGAAGTCTACATCGAGTAGGTGCTTCACAAACCCGAATGCTTCGCACTTCCGCCCTCGCCCAGGGCCCAGAGTCGCAGGGCCGTCCCTGTGACTCCCAGCCTCTCCCCTGCAAGCCGGGAAGGACGTGCAGACACGTGACTCCCAGCCTCCCCCTCCCTCCCCCCACAGGGCAGGCCACCAGCCACTGACCCTGGAGCTTCTCGCTGGCGCCCCCCAGCAGCTGGTAGAAGATGTGGAAGCTGCATTCGTCCTTGGCCTGGCGGATGGCCCTTGACTTCTCCAGCAGGTCTGCGCAGAGGCGAGTCAAGGTGCCAAAGAGAACAGGGCGCCCCCCACCAGCCCAGGTCCTGGCAGTGCGCCCCCGCTGACCTCCCAGGAAGCGGTGGAATCATTCAGCGCCCAGGCCAGTGGCTTTGGCCCTAATTGGATGAGTGGCCTTGGGCTTGTCCTGCAAGCCCTGGGGCCTTGCTTTCATCATCTGTAAAAAGGACCTTGGTAACAAACACCCCGTATGGCAAGCTGGAGTCTCCGGAGGGCCCAAACGGTTACCACCACGCTCTGCTGCTCACCAAAAGGTCGCAGGTTTGAGCCTACTCTCAAGTGCCTCGGAATAAAGTCCTAGTGATGTGTTTCCAAAAAAAAAAAAAAAAACAGCCCCTGAAACTCCTACATCACACAGCTTTATTCTGACCCACACAGGGTCACTGTGAGTCGTCGCCTGGACGCCAAGTGGTTTGGTTTTGTGGTGAGTGTGACTCCACGCTGAGTTCTAAGAGCCCTAGTGAATCCTCAGATCTGGGGGTGGTCTTGGGGACCCCCAGTTCACCAACCCATCCAAAGGAAACAACCAAACCCCACTGCCATCGATTCGATTCCAACTCAGAGACCCCACAGGGATTCTAAGGCATCAATCTTTATAGAAGCAGACTGCCTCATCGTTCTCCACAGAGGAGCTAGTGGGTTCGAACCACCGACCTTTTGGTTAGCAGCCCAATGCCTTAACCACAGTGCCACCAGAGTGCCTCACCAACTCATGTTGTTATTGTTATATGCCGTCGAGTTCGAGTCAGCCCCCACTCATAGCAACCCCTCCTTGGGTTTCTGATGCAGTATCACTACGGAAGTAGAAGATTGCCCAACCTTCCTTCCGAGGAGTTGCTGTTGGGTTTGAACCGCCAGCCTTCTGGTTAGCAGTCAAGTGCCTTAGGCACTGCGCTACCAGAGGCCCCCACCAAGGCCTTTTTATGCAAATAGCAGATGCTGCCCCATGTAGGAAGGCTGCATCTGTGGGGACACTGTGACCCCAAATAAGCAGGTGGGTGATGTCGGTGTCCCCGTGCGTGGGCTCCCCGGGGCACCCCTGCCCCACCCGTGCACTCCTCCCGGTCACCTTCGGGGCAGAGAGGATACAGGTCTCTATGTTGGCACCCACGATGTAGCCAGCGATGTCAAAGTTGATACGAATGAACTTTCCCTGAGAGGAACGGGGGTGGGGAGGCTGAGCCCAGAAGAGCACGCCCCCCCCACCTCCCAGAGCCGAGAGCTGCCCTTGACTTTCTCCCTTGAATGCACTCCAGGCCCGAGTGCCTCAGTGAGGAGATCTCAGGAATCCAAGGCCCCGGCCCCTGGGACGTCTTTCCTCAGCCCCTTCTCTCTCAGACCAGGAGTCTCTACTCCCACAGTCCCTCCTCCATCAGTCTGGGCCCCCAGTGCCCTCCTCCCTCAACACACCCACACATCTCGGCCCCACTATCCTCCCTACTCGCCCAGCCCATTTCTAGGACATAGCCAGTCCCTGCCCTGCCCCGGCACTTACGAATCGAGAAGAGTTGTCATTCTTCACCGTCTTGGCGTTGCCGAAGGCCTCCAGGACGGGGTTGGCCTGAAGGAGCTGCCGTTCCAGCTCACCCTACCGGGGCATGTGGGATGGTGCATCAGTGAGAATCCAGGTGGGGGGGCTGGTCCAGTTTGGGGACATGTGTGCATGTTTACAGCGGCCTGAGCACCTGTGTGTGACAGGCCTTTGTGTGTTCTGGGTGTGCCATTTCCCCACATCCAAGGCTTGCCCACCCATCCATTGTGAGGTGAACAGAGAAACATCTCCAACTATACAGTTGAGTGGAAAAACAAAACAACTTACAGAACACTCATAACAAGGCTGGGAGCCCATTATTAAAATAAATAAATAAAAAATACCACAGAACAAGTCTTAATTCTACAGATATATACGTGTTTGTGAATGCACAGAAAAAGGATTACAAGGATGTGCACCAAACTGTCAACAGCGTAAACCAATCTAAAGTGGAGGGACCGAGAGGAAGAGGAGCGATTTCACCGTACTGGGCTTTTTGTTGTTGTTATCGGGTGTGTGTGCTCATCTAATGCCTGTGGAATGTTTAACTGTAAGGTGGGGGAATTGAGAGGAGGAAGAGGAGGGATTTCACCATATTTGACTTGTTGTTGTTGTTACCGGGTGTGTGTGCTCATCTAATGCCTGTGGAATGTTTAACTGTAAGGTGGGGGAATTGAGAGGAGGAAGAGGAGGGATTTCACCATATTTGACTTGTTGTTGTTGTTACCGGGTGTGTGTGCTCATCTAATGCCTGTGGAATGTTTGAGTAGCAGTCAGACGGGAGCCACAGGTGGTTCTGAGCAGAGGAGGGATGAGATTGAACTTTCCTGTTAACAGGAGGTGCTCAGTAAATGCTCTCCCTTTCTCAACTAAGCTAGGAGCCCGAAAAGTATATTACAGGTAGTCCCTGACTGCCAGTGGGGCACCATTCTGACAAACAGCCCTCTCGTAAGCCTATTCTCATGTAAGCAGAATACCTCATTTTTTGTTTTAGTTTTCATTTATTGCCTTTTACTACTGGCATCTTTATAGATTCGATCTTTGTCTTTGGGGTTGGAAGCATTACACCTGAGAACGGTAACATTAGCAAATCATGCAGCATTAGTGTTGTACATATTACTAACAATAGGATGTACAAAACAGTAAACATGGGCAGTCGTAAACAGATCACTGTAAATGGAATGCGTCCATTTAATACATGTCTGTGCCTGTCAAAGGGGCCCAACACATAGTAGGTACGTGAATGGCAATCCCCCTGCTGCCTTCCTAAGCAGGTTCTCAAGGGCACTGAACACTTCTTTCTACTCCCTGTGAGCCCTCAGAGCCTAGCCTGGGCCAGGCACCCAGTAGGTCTACAATAAATGGCTGTGTAGGTCTCTGGGTTGTGTGACTACACAGGGTCTATGGTTACATGGACTTAGTAGGTTAGCAATAAATGGGAGTTTTTGGTCTCTGGGTTGTCTAATGCTGTTATCTGTGGGCCAGTCTGTAGGCACACAGTAGGGCTGCCATAAATGCCAGTGTGGGCACAGGTTGCATGTACACAGCAGAAGTGCTGTAAATGACA